CTTTCCAGATGGTATAGCAAGAGGAGAGCAATTACTCTCTGGCCTTAATACCTGCCAAGGTAGAGGAGACCTGGGCCTTGGTTACCTAACTTCAGTGGGGAGGGAACACAGGTGTCAGGACAGCCACCGTCAAACCCCAGTTTGCCTTTCTTCATGGATTTAGCCAGGGCTGTGAGTGTGCAGTGGGTGCACACCTTATCCAGTAGCTTTGGTATTCTCTGGTGTTTTAACTATCACCCATCACGTCTCACTTCTGGCCCCCTTCCAACACCTGAAGCACCTTTAAAAAAACCAGTCCTTATTTGACTAAAACAGGACTTGAACCATTCTTCATAAGATGCCTAAAAGCACTGCCTGCCAAACATGTGGTGGTGAGCATGATAGCCCAAAGGTGAATTTTACTTTATTACAAGCAGAATACATTGCATGACAACAGTCAGCTCAAGCAGAAGCAATGCATTTCAGCTGCTGAAGAGCAGGACAAAACAGAGCACTGTCATCACTGTAGGGAGCTCAGTATTATTACCATTGCTGACAGTTTAGCTTTGGAAGATGATTTGTAGTGCCTTGCCCACAGAACCCACAATCCTGCTCCACCCTGCCTGTGTTTTTTATTTTCCCCAACTTTTGTGTCCTGTCCAAAGAACAGAGTTTTACAGAATTTAAAGTAGATCATGATTGCCCAGGTGTGTGCTTCCCCATGGCCTTTTTGTTGGTATTCTCAGCCAGACTTTTGGGAGCTCATTGTCACCTAGAACCTGGGGCTGACCTTCCAAACACCTGCCTTGCCTGTGTGTGGTGCCAAGTTGTGATAGCCAGTGCGTGTTGTCCTCAGATGGGCTCTGGGGTAAGACCAGTCCGTGTGCATGCATTTGTAGTAGGCACTGGGTGAGAACTGCAGTAAGAACTCCAGAAGGTAAGCTCTAACCTGCTGAGTCATCGGGGCTCAGCCTCACTGGCAAGGGCTTCCAAGTTGCATTTAGTTTGCTTTTCCTGCTCATTGCATTCCAGCTTGTCAGCAGCTCTTTTTTGCAGTCTGTATGGTAGAAAGGGAGTAGGTGTGGGTGGAGTCCAGCGATCTGAATTGTACTGTGTACCCCAGCTCATCTTAATTCAAGTGGTACTTCATAAGAAACACCAGAGCGGGTAAATTAGCCTCCTCCAAACAAATGTGCTAGCGTTTATTCATACAGGGATGATGTTGTGATTTGTCATGTTGAACACAAAGGTTCCAAAGGGGCTTCCCATCCATCTTTCTAGCACTGGGCTTCCTGTCTTTCACTGTGCCCTTCTGCCTCAGTGCCAACAGCCTTCACTTCCTTTTGTTCCTCATCACTAGGGTTGTGCATGAACAAAGAAAATAAATACTGAAGAACAGACAAGTATTACATGAAATTCTGTTTTGGAACTTGAAAGCTAAATACTTGCCAGCCAGAAAACATACATCTTTCCTTCTTTGCTCCCCTGTCCTTATCTAACCTCATTCTTCTGCCACCTACTTAAAATTATTTTGTTGTTGTTGTTGTTGTTGTTGTTGTTAACCTTCCTTAAACATTTTTCTCTTTCCCTCCCTTCAAGCATTTTAGTCTTTTTCAGCTCTGAATCAGTCCTTATGAGATCACTTTTTCTCTTGAACGGTTAAATCCATTAAAAATGAACACAATACAGTTCATGATCATAATTTACAGGAGGAATGAAGGAGGAAAAGACTGTTCAAGCTCTATAAGGTGAATCACAAAACATTAAACCTCTACAAGGTGAATCACAAAATAGTACAGCATCAAAGGATCTTAGCAATCTTAGAGAACCCAAGAGTATATTTTTCCTTAAATGTATTACATACTTGAACTTACTACTCAATGTACTAAGGCATGTTGTTGTTCAACATCATATGATTGCCCTATTTATTAAGTGCAAATACTATATAGATAGAAATGTTGGTGTATCTTTGTAATATAACCAAAATCCCCAACAAAGGAAATACTACATGAACTCTTCTTATTGTGATTTGAAGTTTATTCTACAAACATTTATAGCATATCTTTTGTATACTGGCAGCTAGAATCTGTTAGATGACAAACACATAAAGATCAGTAAGACAGTCTCTCCTCAGAAATAACATACAGTCTGTTGGGTAAATAATAGTTATAGCCTAATGATTATCCTAATGAACTGTGAATATAGTGTAGAAGCTCAGAGAGCCTAGCAAACTTTGCCTTGGAATGGGATGGCAAACAAAGGGCTAACCTGGAAGGACACATTTGAGTTTGGATTTTAAGTGTGAACTAAATCTTACAGTTTTAGATCAAGAAAGGTCCTGAAAGACAACCTAATATAATCTTGTCCTTTTACAAATAAGGAACCTGAGACCTAGAGATATTAATTGTCCTTGCTGGGATCCAGCAGCATGTCAATGTTGAAATTAGAATCCTGCTAGAATGCTCTTATTTCTGCTGGAAATAGAATTTGGAGTACCCATGTGTTCTTCCCGAAGAAGTAATTGTGTGGGGAAATGAAATTAGCTTTGACTATAGTTTCTGATGGAACAGCCTAGTGTTTATAGAGTTACCTTTATCATAAAGTTACCTTAGGAGGATGAACAGTTAAATTTTTTTTGTAGAAGCCTAAAGTAACAATTCTCCTAATGTATGGACTACCTTTAGAGAGACAGCAAAAGGCAAGACAGTCTAAAAACCTGTAATTGGAATTGTTTGTGGCCCCCACCACATTATTTAGGAGCTATCAATATTTGCAGCAAAACAATGATGAATGTAATTATATTGTATACCTAAAATGTACCAATAAAATAAAATTAAAAAAAAATATTTGCAGCAAATATACCAGAACGTCATACAGCATAATTGGGCAGATAAAAGAAGGAATGAAAGAATTTTATTCATCTGTTTTCTGAGCATAGATCCTGGTACTCAAAACTCACTAAATAGCATTGAATTATTTGAAGGTTGAACTGTGTCCTAGACAAAACTTTTCTATAAAATATTACAATATGACTTTATAATTAATTTTGATTATAAGGATTGGCTAAATACATTTGTGTGGCCTTTGACATTCCCTTAGTACCTAAAATGTCTTTTCCTATAGGTGTATATCTAAATTCTTCACCATATGTCCACAAATAAATTTATTGTACCCTAGCATTTGTAATTTCTAACTTGAAGAAAACTTAGTTAAAACTAATATCCTCATCAAGAATCACTGGAATACCTTCTTATATTTCTCTGAAATAATTTTTTAAAAGTTTTAAAAAAAGAAAACAAAGAACGAAAACAAGGTAGTTACTTGGAAGGAGAATTATTTCTTAAATATGCTTGGTTTTTGTTTGTTTGCGTTAACTTTATAAAACTTGTTCTAAGCCAGCCATGCCTTTCTTGGTGCCAGAAATGGATTTATTTAAAGTAAGTTAGAGCCGCTCTAGAACTAGGTCTTATAGTATCATTCATTCTTTGCGGAAGAAAGGAAGGAAGGGGAGGGGAGGGGAGGGGAGGAAAGAAAGGAAAGGAAAGGAAAGAAAGAAAGAAAAGGAAAAAAACTGGGCTGGGTGTGTAACTCAGTGGTAGCAGGCTTGCCTAGCATCACAAGGCCCTGGGTGCACTTGCCAGCAACACCAATAAAAGAAAGAAAGAAAAATTACTCTTCCCCACTTTCATTCTTCATCTCCTTGTGTTTATCTGTGTATGTCTGTATGTACACATATATTTCGCTTAGTGTTGCTTCTTTGACTGTCACATTTCAGTCATTACTTTATGATGACATTGCTTACCATGTCTAAGTTTCATTCTCTTGTTCACATAATTTACTTCAAGAATTTGAACTGATTGAATGAAAGTCGTAGAACCCCTCCCTCAATGTGCCCAGCACATACTTGAATCTCAGTAAATTATAGCTTGAATTATTTTGCTTTATTTCCTTAGTTTCCTTCATTTCATAACTCTAAAGTATTAAGAGTCACAAAACAAGCTTGTTTTTGTATTGAGAAAAAAAATCCTTTCAGAACATAATAATTGTGATATATACCCTTCCCCGCAACTCTACTTGTCTCTTTATTCTTTTGGGGTTCTGGTAAACACTTTCACAGCAGCAGGTTTTACTGATTAAATTTGAGGCCTAAACCTAGGCATTATTGACTAACATAAAAACCACAGGCCCCAAGAGTCAGTTAAATATTGATGTTGATTTAAAGCAAATGGATTAATGATACTTAATATATTAAATATTAAATGTAGAGTTTTTTGGTTTAGTATTATTAATATTACCAATTAAAACATGATTTTAGTTTTCAGAAATTCGATTCACAGAAGTTCAATTTTTATCTGGATATAATCCACTTCATCTGACAGGTACTATATAATAATAAATCACTATGAATAGTCCAAATAATTCTCTAAAATTCTGTGTGAACATAATGAAAATACTTTAAAGATAATATTAAAACAATAGAATGAAAGAAAGTTTGTGGGAATATGAGCATCCTTCCTCCTTCATTTTGGCTTTTTAGTAATTTCCAAACTCTTTAGAACACTGATGAAGTTACTTTAGACATACTATATATCATTTTCTAGAACGCAAAGATTTTAATCTCTTCACCTTAAGGAATATAGTTTTCCAACACTTAAGATATTTAAGTTGTTTTAAATGATCTATTCATTGGCTATGAGGAGATGAGTAAGGGGAACTGTGCTATCTATTGAGGTTGGTGACAAACAAACCTAGTTTTCTGTTGTAGGCATCAAAACAAACGTTGACAAATTGTAGTCTTATTTTCTTCTTTTCCCAGTTTGCAAATAAGAAGAATTCTTTGAGTCCCCCAGACAGAGTTAGTCATTTCCTGCTCTGTGATCTGACAGCATTTTGTTCATACCCCATATTTTATGTTTTGTAATTAATCTGTTTATGTGTCACTCTTTTCCACCCCACCCTTGCCTCCAAGTGAGTTCTTCAAGAGTTGGAACCAAATCTAACTTATTTTTGTCTGCCATCAGCCTAGTGACAAGTGGATGAATCATGTGTTGCCCGAGAAGTGAAGAGATTTGCCCGGAGTAACAGCCCTGATATGTGAGTGGCTTTCATAACCTCGTCTCATACTTAACACTCACAGGCTGCCAGGAATGTTTTCAAATTATGTAAATACTTGCTAAAGAGTTAGGGCTTAGTTTTCCCTCCATGTACTTCTAGACAGGCTCATTTATGAGACGATGATGATGACAACAGTGAAGATGATAATGCCATTGTTACCAGTCCTACTGTATCATTTTGGAGATCAAATGAAATGATATTTGTGAAAGCTTTGGAACTGATAAAGCCCCTTATATGAGTACCCATACTGCTGTTATCCTAGTCTGTCTTTATGTTTGCTTGTCTGTCTGTTTGTTTATGTGTGACACACCCACAGTATTTCATAGTTATTACCTCATTAACCCTCTGTGAACATGTGATCTCATTGCCAGTTCACAGATGAGAACTGAGGCTGAGCAGGATTAAATATTTCAGCCATAGTCCACAAGTGACTGAAAGAAGACTGGAACCCACCCAACTCCCTTGCTTCTTTTCCAGTCCAGCCATCAGAACAGAGTGCCTCAGGATGTGGCCTGTTCTTCTGTTGTCCTGGGGCTCCTGAAGGCCCTGGGGTGGGCCTAAGAGGAACATAGCTTTGTGAGAGATGAGACCAGGCACATCTAAGAATTATATGTGTGCATTTAGGTGCTAATCAGGGTTTTCATTTTTTCACAATGCTTGGACACTGAAAGCTCTGTATGGTAAAGTGGACACTGATTTTGAAGTGGCCAGTCACCATCTGCTGTTATAACCCTCTGCATGTGAGTTGTGGGTCCTGGCAAGAGGGCCTAGCCTCAGCATTGCTTTGTCTCAATGGGGAGTTTCTTACTGTGACTCTCAGAGGAAATGAAGGCTGATAAATCCAGCTGTTGCTTCCTGTTCCTATAATTCTGAAATTTATTTTTTTAAAGAGTAGAATGCTTTATTTTTAAACCAGTGGAAAATACCCTCAAGTTGTTCCTTGTTAGTATTTCCTTAAAAACTAGATGTACTTGCTGGAGCTTTAAAGGGTGTTGTGTGAGAACAAGAAATTCCCATGATGCTGCCTGGGATGGCTCAAGCTCTCTGTTTTTCAGCAACAGGCAGATTTGACTGGGCAGACAGCTCTAAGTGAGGTTGATGACAGTACCGATTTAGGGGAGAACTAATTTATCTGTGGTATTACTATCTCTCAGGCCATGCTTGTACAAAATAAGTCCGATTTTTTGTTTGTTTAGTTTGGGGGTATTTTTTTTCTGCTTGTGATTGTGACATTAGTGAAGAAAGACCAGAGTGGACTAAGAAACATGCTATGTCTTCACATACCATTGTTTACAGAAACTAGTCATCAGGTATAGATTACTAGGATGCAGCTTGATGGGTTTGATTATGTAACTAGTGAGTAGCTGAAAGTAATAGGTAGAAATATTTTCTCTAATGCCACTTTTTTTTCATTTCCTAATTTAAGAGACAGACATTTATGTGGCTCAGATAGTACTTCTTTTCAGAAGCACTAAAGGAAATTTATTTGGAAAATAGAATTATAAGAATATAGTAAATACACCAAGTCAGCTTGGTCCCTCCTTTATAAAGTCATAAATAATAGCTAAGGTACTACTCTATTCACAGAGGATAACCAATACATATTTTGTATTTATGAATTGGCTGGCCTCTGTGAGTTATTTATTCTTTGACAATTGCAGTTACAGTTAATATTACATGAATTCTGAATAAAAAGGAGATCTTCATAACCTAAATCCAAGGAAGAGCTTATATTGACTATTTGACCTAGCTTTTTTTTACCACTCCTTCTGGAGAAGTAAAAATTTGAGATTATGATACTCATTGGAGGCTGTTTTCATATATGTGATGTTATGAGTCTCTGATTGTAATTTCCATCTTGCCATCCTTGCCATTTTTGTGTTGCAACGGTTTCTTGACTAACATGAAGTTAATAATATGCTTTTGTCTCTCAGCAGTTTGTAAGGATCAGACTCATTGGAATCTGTGGGAGTGCTTTTTAAAAACTGAGGTGATGAAAAGACAGGTGATCTTGTCATTAAATGGGAGTTGGGTTGTAAGTTGTTTCATGTTTTAGACTTTGATCTTAGTGTCTTGTGGTGGCAATTTGTCTCCTTCATTAAGTGTTCTTCTAATTATAAGTTTTTGGACCCTAATTTGAGCTAACCACTGACTTAAACCAAGCTGAAAGGTGCAGCTATGGGCTTGGTAGGGTTGAGCAGATTTGAGTTTGCATCCTGTCCATATATATTAGCTGTATCCTCTTGATCAGATTACTCAAACTTTCTAAACCTGTTTCCTCTCAGAAAAACTGGAACCATAATGGTGCTCTTCATGGCGGATATGGCATTTAATGAGCGTAAGTGTGAAAGTGCTTGGTTCCTCAGCAGGATTGTTGTCTTCCTGGCTTCCCTGCATGTCTGCTGCAGTAGCCTCAGTGCTGAGTGGTAAACACAGCCCCAAGACTTGCTATGTGAAGACACCAGCAACGCATAGTACTTCACCTCCTTACCTCATCTTTTCCTCTCCATAGCGTAGCCAAGGAAATGAGAAGTAAATTAAGCTGCTTAGGTCACTGACACTCTCCTTAGGAATAATAAATACTTCTTTTGCCACTTTCTTCCTGTCAGTGTGTGCTGACTTGAGTTCTTTGAATGCTTGACCTGCCCGAGAAGTTTCAGGGCATAAGAAGGTCTGGCACTGTTTGCTTTACTTGAACATACACAGAGCTACTCACTTCTGTGGCCATGTGGAATATACTGGGGGTTTGGGCAAGGGGAGGTACTAAGTTATATGGGTTGTGGAATCATTTTTGCAAAGGCACCTTGTTTTCCTTCAAACTTTACCAAAAAGGACTCTTCAAAGTTTTATTACTGGGTGAGTAAGGTGTTGGTTAGAAAGGTTAATGTTTACCAACTCACTGAAGGGTAAAGCAAACATCTTATGTCCAAACTGTTTAATAACTTCCATAGAAATTGGAATTCCTTAATCTTTATACCTACTAATTCCTGTATTAGTTTACAGTACATATGTGATTTGACTTTGTGTGCAAAGTCAGAAAAACATCTCTGCACTTTCTTGCCCTGTTTTCAATTTCTTCCTCTCTGCTCCTTTCTCATCCTAAAAATTATATCTTCCATTAGTTCTGCCTTCTTCCCTTCTTGCTTTTGTCCCAGGCTTTGCTTTTCTCCCCAGATAAGTTTTCTGAAGAAAATACTCACTTTCTCACTTGCTGTTTGCCCACCACGAGTCATGAGTCAGAATTCTTCACTGAAACTGCCCCACTGACTCCAGTGGCTTCCAGTCCAGATCCAGCAGTCAGCTATGCCATCTGCTGCTGCCTACTACTACTCTTCCAGAAGTATTTCCTTGCTGTGGCTCCCAGGCCAGCCTTTTCTTCCTAGTTTCCTTCCTTCTTCTCTGGCCTTTTCTTCCATTTAGTCTGAGTCTTTTCTTTCCACCTGTTCGCTAAGTGTTAGTAAGCCCCAAGATTGGGCCTTTCATCTTTTTCTATCCTTGGAGGCTCTCATCTTCCATATACTAATGACCCATAAATCTGATTCTGTCTTAGACCCTTCTCTTGACATTCAGGTGACCTCGCTCTCTCTGGTTAAATTTATTATACCAATCTTAGCCAAACAGAAATGAATTTACCTGGAAATCCTCCCAACTAGAGTAGCCTTCTCATTCATTTTCCAGCCTCCACTCAACTTGTCTCCAGTCCCACTTCCACACACTTGGTAGAATTCTGTCCTTGTTTTTGTTTGTTTTGGTTTTTGTTTGTTTAAATAGGATCTTGCTATAGCCCAGGCTGGCCTTGAACTTGTGATGATCCTCCTGCCTCGGCCTCCTTAGTACTGGGATTACAGGCTAAAATAGACCAATGATCTCATTGTCCCACACGTTAAAACTTTTCAAAGGTTCCTTATCGCCCACTTCTAATTCAAATGTGCCAGTGTCATCATAGTTTCTCTGAATTCTGTTCCTGGAAAAATCCCACCCTTGCATCCTTTAATTTCCCAAAAGCTCCCCAGCCCCACCCTTTTGTGCTCTGGGAAACCACGAAGGACTGCTTTGCTCTTGAGTATGCCAGGATGAGACTCAGATGACTTCCTTGTTTACCTGCCTCTAAAACTCCAGGTCCTGTCCTTTTCTTCGAGACAACCCACGTTAATGAAGGAGTTTTGTGTAATGACCTGAAAAAACGTCCTCTCCTTAATTGTCCAGTGCATTTTGTCTCTGACAGGTCTTACCCTATTAACATTGTTATAGTATCACTTTATGTTTATAGTATTGTAATGATTGTATATTATACTAATTTATTATTTTAATAATAAATTATGTTTTATTTATAATTTTTTGCTTAATTATTCATACAAACACTTTTATATCTTTCACTCTAAGCCCTTCAGTAGTATTTGTAGAAATATCTGCATTATAGATAAGGATTGACTACAAAAGGGGATGTTACCCAAAAAGGAAAAAAAAGGTCAAGGGCCGGGGATTGAGTTCAGTGGTCCCACCACCCACCTCGAAAGCGCAAGGTCCCGAGTTCAATCTCTGGTACCAAAAAAAAAGGTCAAATGGAGTAACCCAGACTTTATGGAGGTTACAAGGACACTGAACTTGAAACTCTTGCAGGCTGTGTGTTCCACTTCTCCACATGGCCAGACCTGGTTGTAAATGAGACAGCGAGGTGTTAGCCCTATCACCAGTGCACCCAGCTAAATTGGGGTGGTCATGGCAGGTGTGTGTTACTAAAAAGTAGGGAGAATAGTTTCTGGGAGATACTAAGTTGTCTTTATTGACAAAAATGAAGAACGGCTTTGATTAAAAAGTAACCTGGGAATAAAGAGAATAGAAGGAAAAAATGCAAACAAAGCTTTTGTGAATAAGGAGGGGAAGAGGGGTTGAAGGGAAGGAAGGGGAATGGGGGAAAAAAGAATCAAGATACATCATGTACAGGTACAAATTCTCTATGATGAATGTGATCACTATGT